CTTATAACAATGTTTCTGTTTGAGGCGTTGAGGCGTTCCTCTCCCTATATAGCATAATTGATTTGTTTTTTTGTAGATAGAGGTAGGGGGTGATGTGCTGTCCTTCAGCAAGGAGGACAGTTTAATGTTGAATGTAAACATTAAGTCTTAAACTTGTTTGCACAAGTTATGTCTAAGTACCCTTCTCTGTTTCATTAGTGATAATCATTATTAGTGCTCTTTACCTTCCATTTATTACTCATTTTAAAATAAACCTGTGGAAACAATATTCTTGATGCCATTAGCTCTTCTTCACTTAAAATAAATCTTTCAACTGCTTTTATTTCTCAATAAATGTTATGCTTGTATCTTATTAGCAAAAATGATCATTTAGGGGACTGGACGGTGGTACGAGGGTGGAGCACAAAGCTCTGCAAGGCTAACGGACAGGGGAGGTTCTGGGTTTGCATCCAGGGATCTCTGAGTATGCCAGGCATGTGTGTTTCCATGACCTGGGGCTGGCTGAGGCTGGGAGTGGATCGTGGCCTTGGAACCCTGTTTGGGTTGCTGTATTGCTGTCTCTCTCTCTCTCACTCTCACTCTCGCTCTCGCACTAGCTCTCTCTCTCTCCCTCTCCCCCTCTCCCTCCCTCCCTCCGTCTCTTTCTCTCTCTATGACTCCTTTGCTCATGGAAGAAATTAATAAGCTTTAGAAAATTACCATTTAATTCTCATTTTATAACCATCCCTCTTTTAAAATTTCTGAGCAGATATTTGTTCAGTGCCTCCTTTGTGCCATAGTCTATCTTTTCTTTCTCATATTGGTGAGTAAACTATTGCTATAGTCATTTTTATTTTAATGAACCATCAAGTTAGCAAAGTTTTCTGTCAACTGTTTTGAGCTCTTGTGTGTTTTCTGTGTTCACGCTTATATTTAACTATTATTATTTCTCTAGAGTAAAGCCATAAATCAGTTAAAATGCAGCTCATTAAAATATCATCCTCAAAATAAATATCACTATTTTGAGATCTTTTGCTCTTCAATAAATTAGAAGATATTAGTTTAATGTACCTTTAAAAGCAACATTTCAGAACAGATTGTACTTACTCTCTCCAGGCCAATTTTCTTTCCTTATTTTGACAAAAACCTGATCTTTACACAATTTAATTACTTTTATTGCATCTGGAATCATTTTAAGCTGGCATTGAAGCATTAATAACTCCAATGTTTAAAAAAAAAAAACTTTAAAATCTCTACGATAAAAGAATTGAGTTTAGTACAGTATTTTTTTTGAATAGTCCCTAAATGACACAGGCTTTAATTGATGACAGCTGTATTTTGTGATAGTAACGGGTGAGAACACTTGTTGATACCATAAATGTCAACAATGAGCCGAATATGCTGATTCCATTACTGGTAGCTGTTCCGTATTGGAAAGCCATCTCTATATTAAACCTTAAGCTAAGGAAATGTGACTGAGACATGTTTTATATTTTTCTTTTCCTGAATTTTGTTGAAATTGTTGACTTTAAATTTTTACAGCTTGTCTATTTGAAAGCTATTGTGAGAGGAATAATTCATAATAGAATTGAAATAGTAGCACATAAGATATTCTCTTAGGGTCATTCCTTATTTAGGAGGAGAATTAGTATTTTTGACCCCAAATGCTCATAAATGCAGAGCAATAATGTTAATCAAATGCTCTCTGGAAAAGTCATTATATTTTCTTTAAGAGTCAGTCCATATACTACCTGTGGCACTAGTAGTCATCACTTACTGAGTTCAAGTTTATAATTATAATGTTAATACCTTGGAAACCAAGGCTTTCTCTTACTGTGTTAAGTACTGTACAGAGGGTGGTAGATTACTTTCTACTAGAGGGTAACTTACCACAGTCCTTTTTTAAGCTCAGTATCATTTTACTAGTCCTTTTCCTTTGACACCCTAGGTGAAGGGATCAGTATGAACAGAACAAAATCATTTTTATTTTATAAATTATTTTTTTTCATAGACTACTCCACTGGAAACCATGTTTCCCATCTGTGTTTATCCTTATTTTAGTCTCTTTTGGAAATCATCTGATTTGTGTTTATTTCCTCAAAGCTATGGTTTTTATTTCTAGCACAAAAATCTTTTTAGAAATCTAATTTGACAAGTTGTACACTACCAGAATCCAAACGTTATAGAGCAGTTTCATGTGCCTTTTTTAAAATTAGAATTCAGCTTGAATTTACTGTTCTTAATCTGCTATGAAGCGCCATCATTATTAAGGTAACAACTGAATTTCCTCTCTACTGACAATGATGCAAGAGTTCTTTTTCCTTTTTGGTGCTGGAAAGTGTCATGTTGTTGCTCATTAAATATGTGAGAACTGAGGTGAGAAATTCATTATACTGCTATAAAAATCTGTGTGAACTCATCTTTTCCCTTTCCTTACCTACCCTCTTCTCTATTGCTAGAATGTTAACAGTGAATTTCAATGAGGCTAATTAAACTCTGTTCTTGATTTGTTTAAAACTTTAAAAGTCAATTTACTAGCAAAAGATAAAGTATATTCAATAGTAAATTTATTCTATCGAGAAATATAGAAAATGTACAGAGGACTGTATGTCATTGTGTTATATGTGAAACATTATGTTATATGTATTGTGTTATATATGAAACATTTTCTTCCTACTAAAAGTTGATAAGTGCCAATATAGTTTCACTTTTCTTAACACTTCCTGGGGCTTTACTTTTAGACACTACTTATTTTTAGTAAAAATAAAAGAATAATGTTGGGTTCTTTGTAGAGTATAGTGCTAGAAACATCAGAAGCAGTAGATCATAGGCCAGGTGCAGGCCCATGGGACCTAGGATCATGGAGATGGGAGTTTGGATGAGGGGTCAGGGATCGCAATAGGCCAGACCGCCCGGAGTTAACTAAAGAAACCAGTCATCATTCAGTCAAGTTAGAGGGAAAATCCTTTTAATCTAAGTACAAATAGTGTATGAGCTCTAGAAATTTTAAATGTCAGTATTTGTATTGCCAGAATACCTGCTTAAGCTCTGATAAATGCAGACTCTGATGCAGAAGTTACATGCTATAATAGTAAGTCTCAATTTAACTCACTCAGAGTCCATAATGGAAGTAAACTGTCAAGTCTTCAGTCCCTTGAGTAGTCAACCCCAACTGTACCTTCTTGATGTGACTGTACTTCCTAATACAAACTTAGAGATGAATGAGGACCATTCCTGGCCTCTATAAAAATCAGCCTTAATCTAACCTAACATTTATTAAAATGGGTTCCAGATTCTCCATTAAAAAAATTCATAATACAATAAATTTGGAAGTTCATATACTGTATCCTGCTGCAGTGTTAACTTTTTACCTTTTAGCGATTTTGTTTATTTCATTTATTCAACAAATATTTATTGAATTTCTCCTGTATATCAGACATCTACCAGATGCTGGGGACAGAATGAGAGACAATGTAGATATGTTCCACACTCTTGGGTCTTATACTCTTTGTAGAAAGAGAGATACTAAATAAGTAATTACAATATAGTATGCTAAGGGCTGAAAGAAGAAAATTCAGGCCTTGAAAGGAACATACAGCAGGAGAACCTAACCTGCTCTACAAAGAATCAAGGAAGGGGTTTCTAAAACATGCCATTATGCTGAAAACATGAAGATCAAGTTAGACAAGCAAGGAACCTTCCATTGCAGCAACAGCACTGTAACAATGACAGATACCTACAGCTGACATGTGCTCTCACTCCTGCTACAAGAACTAGAATTCGCAATCGCAATTCACTGGGCTCCATAGTCCTCCATAGTCTACCCCACAAACTACCCCTCAAAGCAAGTCATTGATGTTTATTAAATTAGTTTATTAAAATAAAAATAATAATTTGATATCTAAATTATATGTTGTTTTTGATTGTCACTTAGAAGGTACTGCTTTTTAAAAAGAGATAACTATTTTGTAATTTTAATAGATTGTAGTAAAACTTGGCATTTCCATATAAATTTCATAAGTATACTATAGCACCAGGGTCTGAAGTTCACTTTTCAGTTAGTTCTTTTGACATAGTACTCAAAATAATATAATTGCAACTTTATACTTTACTTTGATTAAATGCTAGGGTAGTTTGAAAAGATAAGTTTGAATTTGTATAAAGAGAGATACTACTTACATTTTAAAAGCAGTTTTAATCCACTAAATAGCAAGTTGTCTATAGAACTTTTCAATTACATGATAGAGTAAGTGCAGAAAGTAAAAGTATAAAATTGATCCTCCTAAAATAATCTAAACCTTCCTATCACCTGCAGCTTCTGCACACACATTTTTGGCAATATCTCCTGGTGATGTGAACTTCCTGTCTCCCCATGTAAGGAGCCTCATAACATCAGGATAGCTCACTATTAATGTTTTGGGAGATCTTGATCTTAAAGAAGTTCAGGTAAATAATTGAGTTAGATGTAAGAAAGAAAAATAGATTTTCCTCATCTCAGAAGCAGTCAAAATTCCACAAACTACCTCTTCATTGTTCTTGAAGTAGGGTGGTAGCATAGTTTGGCATTGGCACCAAGTCATGTGAGACTGGTACATTGGGCCTGAATGTGGAATTCATAGACTTGTTCTAATTGGCCATGTCAGCGTGCCAGTCATAACCAAACTTATTATCAAAATTATATTTAAATATCATGAATATTATATACAATATAATAATATATTTTTAATTCTTCCTCCCACTCAGGAGGTGTGCAGTGATCACAAGGGAAGTTATCAGAAAGTAAAACAGAAAAATTTGGATAATGTCTGAACCTGTATTAATTCCAGAACCCCTGTAATTTATATTAGATCTACAAAATGCCATTGCTAAATGGAATTTCACCTGATATTTTTATTTTTCTTGGGGAAAGCAGGATAATGAACAAAAAATTTAAAAGAAGTGTTCACCTGTTATATTTTTATTCATGATGAAACATCAGTTTACTTCCTTGCTAACCATAAAATGTGTTGGTTTAACTTTAGGGACACCACAGTACAAACTCTTACTCTTCAGCCTTCAGTTAAAGATGGACTTATTGTGTATGAAGACTCACCCTTGGTTAGTAATCCAATCATATGAATATCTTCAAGTGTATTTTTTGAACGATAATTATAATTTCAGGCTTTAGGTAGTGGTTGGTTGGAATACTCTCCCAGAGATTCTACTGTATTTCAGCCTAACTGAAAAGTATTCATTCACATGTCATTTCACGGTGAATATTTAAATGTAAATTACTGGGGAAATAACATGTTTCTTTATTTCGTTCTCTCTTTAGAGGTTTAGTGAATGAAAGAAATTATTTATTGATTTCTATTACAGAGGTTTTTTTTGTTTGTTTTTTTGAGAGGTTTTTGCTATAGGGCGCGTGCGCTCGCCAGAAAGACAGAAAGAGACAGAGAGACAGAAAGCAAGAAATCACCCCCCAGGGGGAATGGCCACACCACAATCCCTTCTCCATTCTCCTCTCAGGATCTTGGGCATGCACGCACACACGCCCAGCATGAGTTTAAGCCACCAGGTCCAGGACTTGAACCACAGTCAACTACATGGGAGTCCAGCGACATAGCCATTATGCTAACTGCTGGTCCCTATTACGGAGTTTTTTAAACAAAGGTTTATTTATTTTCATTCATAATTGAGAGCATGTATGTACACACTAGAGATGGGGATGGAGGAGAGACAGAGAACCACCCGAACGGGATCCTATCACCCTGATTCCCTTCCCACAGCCCTGCAGCTCATCAGGATCATGGGAATAAGCATATACACCTGGTGTGTTTCAGACTGATCCTGAAATCCATAGTCAACGTTGTGGTTTCCAGCATTCCAGTTTAATTTTCTACTCATTGCACCACCAGGCTGGGCCCAAAATTTTTTAAAGAAAGTTTGCTATTTTTCCAAATGTGTAAAGTTTGAAATTAAGTAGTGTTTCTAGAAAAGTTTTTAAACAGAATTTTAACTAATAAAAAATTAGCTCAGTGTTCTGGGCATCTTGGAAGATCCAGCATTTACCTCCGCATAAGACCTATAGAAAGCCCAGCCTGTCAGTCATGTCCCTCTGTGAGGATAACTCCTTTGCAGCAATCACACCAATAGCTATCACGAGAACCTCTGTAGTCAGAGTCATGGGATTGGAGTCTTTAGGCTCCCCTGCCACAATTATCCCAGGTTGCAATTTTCCCTGAACAGAGATAGAGTTAGAGGAAGAAACTACATTTTATTTTTTTTTAAATTCAATTTGTTTTCACCCTAGAACTATTCCTTTATCAATTCTTTAAGAATATGCAGCATAATACTTGTAAAAACAGAATCATCCATTTCTTAATCTGTATTTCCTTAAAAATATTCACCAAAACTGTACAGTCAGAAAATGTTATGATATAGGCCACTTTATGTTTTAATTTTTACTATTTTTAAAAATAGTAAGGTTAACATTTAAATTCATTGTGTATTTCTTCCTATCCACCCCTCCCCTCCAAATTATTTTGGTTAATTTGCTAGAGGGCATGTGCACTTGCTGGAGATAAAGAGAGTGAGAGAGAGAAAATGAGAAAGCCCCCCTCATGTGTCACACTGTAGTCCCTTCTCCTCCATTTCTCCTTTTGGGGTTTTACACACCCATGCATGTGCTCCCTGCATGTTTTTCAAGCCACTGGGTTTGGAACTCAAACTACACAGTCAGCCATGTAAGATCCAGCAGCTTTAACCACCACACCATTGACTGACACCCCCCCCCCAAAATTAGGACTTTTTCTTAGCGTTCATCTTTCTTTTCATGAAGTCACCTATGACTTATGACAACTTTTCACTGTTCCTTCCCTCTTTTCCTATCTAAGCAAGCAGTCACCAAGTCTATAGAATCTGCCTCTGCAGAAGCAAGCAGTCACCAAGTCTATAGAATCTGCTTTTCTCTCAGATCAATCTAATGTTTATATTTCCTTATTTTTTCATGCCCCTTCAAATCAGATTCTCAGACCACTTTTTGATCAAATTATTATAAGAATTCTCTTTTGGTCTGTTCTGCATGTTGTTTCAGACTTAAGATCCTTAAATATAGCTCCATGTTCCATTTCTGGAATCATGTCTGATATCACGAATCTTCAATTATAGCCTGTTCTTAATGAAATAAGGTATCTAATTATTGGTCAGTCTGGCAATCTACTGCTTACAGGAAGAGACCCAATCTACCCTCCCAACCCCTTGTCTCACATTTGACCTCCACTTAAACCAACATATACTATTCATTTTCACTCTTCCCCTAAATAAGCCCCAAGATTTTTTTAGCTTGACCATTGATTCTTTTTGTATTGAACATCTAATTCTTCAGTCATTCATTCTAGTCTGTTAAAATTGTATACTCTCTTAAGAGCCATACTAAATCCAATGTTCTAATATGTACAATTGATTAGGATGTCTCACTCTACTTCAGCCCCCGGTACTTTTAATTTTAAAAGATTACTGTAGAGTTGACCATTAAGTAACTATATAAAACTTTTGCTACAGACTCATAAATTTTGTTTCTAATTCCACTGTATTTTTTGGTGTGTATGTGATAGTATGTTCATAACTTAAGTAAAACCAGGTATTATAAATCCATAATGTTAAGTGATGACATTTCAATAATTGTGGCTTCCATTTTTTCTGTTTATGATAAATTTTCTGTGTTCTAAGGTTAAAGCAGTAAAATTGGGTCATGTTCTGGTAGTAGATGAAGCAGACAAAGCCCCAACAAATGTCACGTGTGTTTTAAAAACTCTAGTAGAAAATGGAGAAATGATTCTAGCAGACGGAAGACGCATTGTTGCAAGTGAGTATTTTAAGAAAGCAACATTTTCTTTAATAATTTTTACATGTGTGGTATCAAATCAAACTTAGCGGGCTATTTATTTACACACAACTAGTATAAGTTCAATATAACTTAAGTTGTCTATATTAACAGCATTTATGAGAATAAAACATATCTGAATCCAGCTTTGTCAGTTTTCTTATAGCCAGAAAGCATCTTTGAATATTTCAGTAATACTGTTAGGCTAGATTAGCTTCATATTTTTCTAGTCTGAGAATACCAGCATATAATCCTTATACTTCTCTCTCAATTATTTGTGTATGATTTATTTTCCTTCATTGTTATATAGGACTTTTAAAATATCTAACATGTTTTTTAATTTTTATTTATTTATTTATTTATTTGCTATCATGTACATCTACTTGCCAGAGACACAGAGACAGAGAGAGAGGGAAAGTAAGAAAGTAACCCCTAGGGAGAATGGCCACACCTTAGTCCCTTCTCCTTCATCCCCTCTCAGAATTTTGGGCATGTATGCACACATGCCCAGCATGTTTTTCAAGCAGCCAAGTCTGGGACTCGAACCACACAGTCAAACATATGAGACTCAGCTGCCTTAACCTCTATGCCATCTGTTGGCCCCTAGCATGTTTCTATTCCAGTATTAAAATTTATTTCATTATTAGCTCAATATAATTAGAAAAAAGTTGCTAATTATTTTATATATAAATGTACTTAGTATGTTTGTGTGTGAATATGTGTGTGTGTGTATTCATATGCCCCTCTACCTCAGAAAGAATTTATTTTCTGTTTTGGATTCTCTTTTCTATGCCCCCATCACCCTTTACACACACACACACACACACACACACACACACACACACACCTTTTTTGCTCTTGTTAGGGAAAAAAAGTGAAGGTAAGTGAATTTATTCATGTATTTAACCTACAAGGAAAAAATGTGTTTGCAAATGCAGTATGAGAACATTTTCTAGTTTCTGATTTAAATTTTTCGTTTTGAAGAGACTTGAAAATCTTTCACTAGCCATGGAAGATATATAGCCAAAGCAGGGTAATCAAACAAGCAGAGACTAATTACCAAAACCAAGGTCAGAGAGACCTTGTAAGGAAGACCCACTAAAAAGGTACAGGTGCAGCGCACAGAGGCGTCTTCTTGAACATTATCATTGCAAGATTGCTGTTTCTGAGCCTAGACTCAACACTAACACAAGAATTCTAATATTTCAGTGTCACAATTCATTATGAGAATTTGAGAATCCCAGTTAGCTTGAATTTCTTTCTTCACAGGATCATTCAGACTCTCAAGATTAGCATTCTACCCTTTTCAGAGGCATTCTGAGGACAGTGAAATGGAGAGGAAGGAAGAATTCAAAATGTAGTTAGGGAGTGATTATCTCCTGGTAACTCTACATTTTCTGATACATTTCTCAAAATCTTTAAACTCAATTATGAACATAAGTGATATTTTAAACAATGGCCTCTGAAGTTCTTCTGGATATCGTTTTATAAGCCAGCACTTCTATGTGTTTTGTTTGCTTTGCCTTTTTTTTTTAATTTTCATTTTTATTCTAATTAACTAATTAATAAAAATTTGCCTGTGGCCCTGTATCATTATTTGCCACTACTGAAATTAATTGGTTGGTTGGTTGTATTAGCATATGAATGGCATGCTGAAAGGTTACTTTTTGGTATTATAAAAAATTATGTGTAGACTCTTAGGACTAATCTCAAGTAAAACTGAAGCTGCTTCACAACTGCCATATTTTAAAGATGGACAACCTAAGGCTGGAGTTTAAAAAATCCTGGAGGAGGGACCAGCAGTTGGCGTAATGGCTGTGTCACTGGACTCCCACGTAGTCAACCACGGTTCACATCCCAGACCCGGTGGCTTAAAACTCACACTGGGCGCATGTGCGTGTGTGCCCAGGATCCCGAGAGGAGAATGGAGAAGGGATTGCAACGTGGCCAGCCCTTCTGGGGGGTGATTTCTCATTTTCTGTCTCTCTGTCTCTCTCTGTCTGGCGAGCGCATGTGCCCTATAGCAAAATCCTCTAAAAAAAAAAAAAAATCCTGGAGGAGAAGTGCTTTGCTAAAATAAATATAATAACAGTTTTAGTATCTTAAATTATTGCCTAGAGTAGCAGGTTTGTCTGGAATATATACCAGTCAGTAGATTGTAATATTCAATTCCTTTAATACCTTAAACATGTGTACAAAGAAAACTCCAATCACCTTTGAAATAATTTTATTTATTTATTTAAAGAATTTTTAAAATTTTATTATTGTTGTTATTTTAATTTGACCAGAGAGAAAGAGTGAGAAAGCAAGAGAGCAAACTAGCAAGCTGCCAGTTCCGGATCTTGAACTGCAGTCAGCCATGTGGGAGTCTAGCATCTTTAATCACCATGCCACCTACTGGCCCCTAGATAATTTCTAATTTTTTTAATTATTATTTTTACTTAACGTTATTTATTCATGTATTTATTTCTATTTAACCAAAATTTTATATGGAAAGTGTGCTCACCAGAGAGAGATACAGAGAGAGAGAAAATGAGAGTAAGCTGCCAGGTCTGGGACTAGAACCATGGTTGGCCATACGGGATTCCAGCACCCTTAACCAACATGCCACCTGCTGGCCCTAAATCATTAATCTTTAAAACCATGGCAGAATTCCTTGATCAGAAGAAATACATTCACATTGCACTTAACTGACTAAGGTATCCAGACCTGTAATCTATGTGGTTAGATTTCCAGGTGCATGGTCTAAACAAGAATTGCTACATGGGTGCATGACCACAGACTCTATGCAAGCAGTGCAACTGCTGATTTGATGAAAACTATGAGAATGTTTGGGGGCCAGCAAGTGGCATGATGGGTAAGGTGGCTGGATCCCACATGGCCAACTGTACAATTCGAGTCCTGGACCTGACACCTTGAAAGCTCATATGCATGCATGCCCAAAAATCCCAAGAGGAGAATAGAGGAGAAAGGACTGCGGCATGGCCATCCCCCTAGGGGGAGTTGGGGGGTACTTCTCACTCCCCCTGCCCCAGTCTCTTGCCAGTGTATGTGGGCAAAAACAAAAACGAAACAAAATACTTCCAAGGATTCTTCCTTGGATATTCCTTGGATTACTTCTTGTTGTGGAGGCTTTTGTTGTTGTTGTTGTTGTTGTTGTTTTTAAGAAATAATAGCATCTCAAGCCAGGTTTAGGAATTGTATGACACTATTTGAATAAGTTTCCTTTTTAGATGTACATTGAATTTACATAAAAATGCAAGCTTCTATACAACTTAGTATATGCTTTATCAGTATTCCATTCTTCAGAAAATTTTCTCAAGAAAGTTTTTTTTTTCCTGTAACTAAATGATAATAGCCAGATCTTAGGACATTTTATAATTGAACAGTATGACCACTTACGTTATTTTAAAGGCTGTAGCTTGATATTCTTAAGAATTATTAAATTCCGATTAAAAAATAAATACAAATCTTGTTTTTCAGATTCTGCTAATGTGAATGGAAGAGAAAATGTTATAGTGATTCATCCTGATTTTAGGATGATTGTTCTGGCCAACAGACCTGGATTTCCTTTCCTAGGCAATGATTTCTTCGGTACTTTAGGTAAAAACAATCATGATAATAGCCCCAGTGATAATAATATTACCAAAAATGTTACCATGGCTGTCACCGAATGCATACCTTGTGCTGTGCCACCGTCATAACCACCTCGTGAGAGGCGACTTACTTGTTATTCCATTTTAGAGGAGAGTATCTGATGTTCAGAGAGATTAATTTCTTTTTCTATGTCCACTTAGCTAATGACTGGTGTAGCTGGGTTTAATACCTAAGTCTACTTGATTTCAGTGTCTTTTTTCTTACACAGTTACACTATAAATTGTTTTTAGGGCTTCTCAGAATACAACACACATTGAGAAATTCTTTTTAGTGGTTTGTTTTATTTTGTTTTGTTTTGATTTTTTTGTCACATTCCTCTAACGATGAAAAAGGTCGAGGCCAGCTCTGAGGAGACTGATACCCGTTGATTGAATAGGTCCTGAGGTAATCATTAGAAGTTTTTCAAAAGACATCTCTGTTCTAAGGCAGGTATATAATTCTGGACTGTCATAGTCAACATGACATCAGCTCAGTCTCATAGTAGGATCTTTAATCTAGCAATTCCACATCAAAGAATTTATTCAAGTAATTTTCCTGTACAGTGATTTAAGTACAGGATAAGCAAAATTGCATTGTTTTTAATAGCAAAAATGGAAGCAACCCAACTGTCAGTCCTAATGAGCCTGGGTAAAAAAATTCTTTGTATCCTCACTACAAAATACTATGAGGCTGTTTTTTAAATAGTTAGGTAAGCCTACTCATGGTGATTTAAAAGAAAAAAAAAAATCCTCAAGATGTTATTTGAAACGATAAGTCGGAGAAGTGGTATAGTAGTATTTTTTAAAGGCAGGGGGTATGTGTACATATATGTGCTTGTATGTGCATGGAATTTCTCCAGAAGAGAAACTGGTAAGAATAGCGTTTGCAGTGGAGCTCAGGGATGGGAGTGTAATGGACTTAGAAAACTATTTTTGTAATCTTTACTGTGTACAGGTATTACTTTAAAAGTTATTAGCAATTCATGTATTATTGATGCTCTTACAAATATAATAATATCAATACACCAAAACAAACCTGAATTGTTTCTAAAATTTGAGAAGATTTTTTTTTAATGTTAGTGCTTTTTATAGGTCATCCCTTTTGCCCCAGATCACCCCTCTTCATGTTTACTTTAATTACTCTAGGAATATTCATTCCTTATTCTATCTCCATCTTCCATCCACTTCCCTCAATCCTGAAACCTATGACATTTACTATTGCTCTGATGGAAGTCTGACCCTCTGCTGCCTTCCCTTCTTCCTCTGAAGTGCTTTAAAAGCAGTGATTTGTTTGTTTTTGGTTTTGGGGTGTTTTTTTTTTTGGTTTTGGTTTTTTGGTTTTTTGGGTTTTGTTTTGTTTTTGTTTTTGTTTTAATGCTCATCCTGGAAGAAACAGTCTTTGCTCCTTATGACTGCTTTCAGATCATTCTCTTTCTCTCTTCCCTATACCTCTTGTCATCAGGTTATCTCATGTACAAGCCATTGTTGATGTCACCTATCCTTAGTTACTCCTTGTCATTTCTAGTGATTTTTAGCTCTTCGCTCACTGTCATTACCTCCATCCTACTTACTCTCTTGGAGTGGCCGCAGTAGACACACACGTGATGTGACGCAACTCTCTGAGCTCTTGGCTCCTTGGATGTTTTTATTCCAGTTGTCTTATCCTGTACTGTGGTCATACTCTCATTTCAATAACTAAAACTCTCCCTCAATTTCAGTGTCATACTCCTGTTCTTGTTTGTCCTTAGGAATTTTTTCTTATCCATACAACCCCCCTTCCAGTCTTCCCAGCTACTCTGTCTATGCCCCACCCAATAACCCTTCAAACTTATTAGCAACTCTAGTTCAATGATCCTGTCACCTTTTCCCTTAACCCTGCGCCTCCTTGATATGTTTTCTTCTCCCTGACTCAGCTTTTTTTTTTTTTTCCTTACCCAGATTTATTTATGTACCAGCTTTAATTCCCTATGACCCTGGCTTCCTTATCTATCAACTTGTCCCATTCTCTCAGATCCCCTCAGTCCTGGTTGCTGCCAGCTCTCTAACGTGGCCGCAGTAGACACACACGTGATGTGACGCAACTCTCTGAGCTCTTGGCTCCTTGGATGTTTTTATTCCAGTTGTCTTATCCTGTACTGTGGTCATACTCTCATTTCAATAACTAAAACTCTCCCTCAATTTCAGTGTCATACTCCTGTTCTTGTTTGTCCTTAGGAATTTTTTCTTATCCATACAACCCCCCTTCCAGTCTTCCCAGCTACTCTGTCTATGCCCCACCCAATAACCCTTCAAACTTATTAGCAACTCTAGTTCAATGATCCTGTCACCTTTTCCCTTAACCCTGCGCCTCCTTGATATGTTTTCTTCTCCCTGACTCAGCTTTTTTTTTTTTTCCTTACCCAGATTTATTTATGTACCAGCTTTAATTCCCTATGACCCTGGCTTCCTTATCTATCAACTTGTCCCATTCTCTCAGATCCCCTCAGTCCTGGTTGCTGCCAGCTCTCTAACTACATTGAGCCTAGACACATGTGACACTGAATATGGTTGGAAAAAGCATAGAACCACTGTGGCCAATCTCACCTTGAATTCTTGACTATGGCCCACAACTATCCCTTAACGCATGCATACCTTGTTTCCATAGTCCTTTCACTTTCTTGTTCTCCTGGGCAGGTAATTCACATCTTCCCTCTCCTCACAGCTCCAGCACTGTGGCTTGAATTTGTTTTTGTCTTAAAATTATACAATACTTGAGTACTCACTTACTGAGAAATTGAAATACACAAGAATTTATGGAGAGGAAAGGGAAGTTTACTTTTCCACCCATCCCATTTTCTCCCATAGCTAATCAGGATTCAGTTTACTGACTTTCCCTCCAACTTCTATTAATTTTCCTGGCTGTCTGTACTGAGAAAAATACTGGGTTGTCAGAAAAGTCGTGACAGGGAATAGCAGTTAGCGTAATGGCAATGTCACTGAACTCCCATGTAGCTGACTGCGGTTTGAGTCTCGGACCTCGCGGCTTAAACTCACACCGGGCGCAGGTGCATGTGTGCCCAAGATCCCGAGAAGAGAATGGAGGAGAAGGGATTGCGGCATGGCCATTCCCCCTGAGGAGGGGGTGATTTCTTGCTTCCTGTCTCTCTGTCTCTCTCTCTCTCTTTCTGGCAAGTGCATGAGCCCTATATTGAAAACCTCTCAAAAAAAAAAAAAAAAGGAAAAAAAGTCATGACACACTTTTGCATAGAAAAACATGTCATGACTTCTCTGACAATCCAATAAAAGCAATTAGAAAGGAATGTCCACAGACTCCTACCACCAAGTCTTCACCGACAGTGCTCTGCTTTCCCACCCATTACAGATAAACACACTCCCTTCCAGAGCCAGTCTCTCCAGTGAGCACTAGAGTCCACCTCAGCAATGCTACTCTAGGATTGAGGAATTCTGCCCTCCTCTCCCATATCAGCAGTTTCCCTCTCTGCCAGATTATTTCCATCCTCACACAGTCGAGCTGTTATTTCCCCCATCTTTAAAAGGGGGGGGGGGAGGCTCACTTATTTATTTAGTTAGTTAGTTCATTTTTGCCAGCAACTGCTAGATTTTTCTGCTCCCCTTTGTAGCAAAACTTTTCACAACAGTTATTTGTACTTGAAAGGTTGTCTATACTTCCTATCTCCATTTATCTTTCAACATTCTTTCAAATCTATTTGGAAAAAATTCTTGTTCATGTCATTCCACAGGAACAGTTCTTGTCTATGTTATCGGTGGCTTTTCCATCGCTGAATCCAGTGGTGAGCTCTCAGTTCTCATCTCACTTTATCCATCAGCATTATTTAATACAGTCCATCTCTTCTTGATACATTGTCTTGTACTTAACTTAGACTAATACTCCTTCAAATACTTTCTTTCCTATTTTAATGACCATTCCTTTCCAGTGTCCTTGTTAAAATGCCACAGACTTCAGGTCCTGGTCATACTTTACCCATGACCATACTTTACTCACTCCTTTGGTAAAATCAGAATGTGTCCTGGTTTAAAATACCATTTATAATGCCTATTAATGCCAGGTTTTCATCTCTAATCATCTTACTTCCTTTCCCTTCCATACTCATAAGGCCAACTGCCTGTTCCATAGCTCCTATATTGCAGATTTAACATGTCCACAATGAATTTATTTTTCTACTTAGGCCTGATTAATTTTTAGTGTTTGGCATCTCATTTGATGATAACTCCATTCGTCTCATGCCAGAAATCATTCTTGACTTATCTCTTTCTCTTATGCTCCATTTCATCTATCAGGTAAGCTTATTGGCTCCATTCTAATATGTATTCAGAATTATCCTACTTCACATCACTTGATTTGCTACCATTCTGATCAAAGCCTACTCCTAATCCAAGACCCAACAGGGTCTGTCTCCACCTTTATCCTTTGTTATAAACTGTGAAAATTCTAAGATTTTACCTACTTTTAAGCTTACGAGTTAGCCTGCCGAAGTTTCATCAGAGACAAAGATAGGATTATTACAGCAAAAGCAGCAAGTCAGACTATCTGCATTTGTCCTGGTGTCTCAAGTTCCATTTCCTACTGGGCATCACAAAAGAGGCTAGACAGTTCCTGCACTTGCAGTGAGATATTTTAAGGAGAGGAACCTTGAACTTAGGTAAACCAAATTTTTATAATGGACAGATAAAATGTCTTATCTTCTTCCAGAGAAGGAAAGCAAAAATAGGAGAAAGATATACTAGAAAAAGAAAGAGAGACAGTCTCTATATCCCAAAAATGTTTGCTTTACAAATGTTCTTGGAGAGAGTGGTCAGGACCTTGCCAAAAGGTGTACAGCAATGTGAGAGACCCATGAAGATTTGTCTCCCAATATCCTTCTGCGGTCTGTTCTCAGTGCAGCAGCCTGCTCCTCTGTAATATCTTTCTGTGGCTTCCCATTTTACTCTGAGTATACGCACATGTCTTCCAATAGTTTACAATGTCCTGCGTAAGAGTCTCCCACATCCTCTTATTTCTGGACCTCATGACCTGCAGTGCTCTTACTGCCCTCCCCACCACTCGTTCTATTCCAGCCTCTCTGCCCTCCTGTCTCTTCCCTCCACATCCCAGGTATGCTTCACTTAGTTCTTACATTAGCCACGCCTGCTGCCGGAGTGCTCTTGCCCCAGACAGCTGCATTCATTCCGATGCTACCTTCTCAGTGAAGCCTACCTGACTGACCTTACCTACTCTCACCCCTTCTACTGGTCTGTACCATGCTTTTCTTTTTCTATTTTCATTGAAAGATACACTTTCTAATATTTATATTCATCATTTGTTATCTCTCTATGCCAGAATATAAGATCCCTGAAGACTGGGATTTTCGGTGATTTTAATTGCTGTTATATATCTAATACCTAGAGTCGTACTTGACACATAGAACACATTTAATAATTACTCGATGAATGAATAAATAAGGACTCAATTATCTTTTTATGTAACATAATTACTCGATGAATGAATAAATAAGGACTTATATTTTTATGTAACTTTTAAATTTCATTTTCGGCTAGGAAGGCAAAAGCTGTTCTTCAGGTTTGTATTTGAAAAGCTGTGGGCTGTGAAATAAAAGTTTGAACTTACAGTTTTCATTTTATTCAGTGACTTCTCAATACACATACACAAATGTTTGTTCAGATGCTTCCTAAATCAAATTAAAATCTTATCGCTACCTGACTAGATGTCCTCTTTTTCTAAAATGAGCATCGATCATATTAAATAATGTAAGTCCATTTACTTTAACTTTCTTTGGTCCCTGGTCTTTAGATTATGAATCAGTAGACTTTCTTTTGAGCATAGATTGTGTTTTTCTAGTACATTATTAGCTACCTAAATTACAGATAAAATATTCCGTGTTCTACATTCCTTTTCTTGATTTTAATTTAGACAATGTCTGTAAAGGTTTACTTTTCCATGAATAACCTCTGAAGTATATTACTGCAATGTGCACCAGATATAAGATGTTTAGGAGTGATCATTTTCCTGCTTTAGCATATACAACCATTCATATAAAATAGGTGTATATAATTTCTGAAGGTATTCAGTGTTTGTTAAAGTTAAAAGATAATCGCAGGACTTTATGAAAAATATATTCCCACTAATGAAAAAGGAATAAATCACTGTAATTTTTTTTGCATGTCTACCTGTTTTTAAGAAGTACTAATATAGGTCTGAAAAAATAAATACACTGAACTGTTAAGACTGAGGGCCTTTTCAAGAGGGTGTGGCACGGGAGGAGATAGAAGGAAATGTCCCCTTTTTGGTCTATATATTTAACTATCTCCCAGTGGGCATGTATGAAAGTATTACATAATTTTTAACAAAAATAAACTCATGCAGAATAAGCCATATCACCCAGTTTTCTTTTGTTTCCATCACTTGCACCTTCTCTGTTAAATGAGCCTCTCGTGTTTTGTTGAGCAGCTAAGAGCTCTTTAAATGACCAGTTCATTTTTTCTGTAGCATTATGATGAGTTAGTTGCATGCTGAATGTGAATCTTCATGCTCTTTTAGGTGATATTTTTAGCTGCCATGCAATTGACAACCCCAAGCCTCACTCAGAGCTCGAGATGCTTAGACAGTATGGACCAAACGTGCCTGAGCCCATCCTGCAGAAACTTGTGTCTGCCTTTGGAGAGCTGAGGAGTTTGGCTGACCAGGGGATCATTAACTATCCTTATTCTACCAGGGAAGTCGTCAACATAGTCAAACATTTACAGGTATGGCGTACACCAAAGTGTAGGGGTTAAGAAAGAATCCCTCAGTCTTTCTTTTCAGACTACACACTTTATACCAACTTTATTCAGTTTCTGTATGTGTAATATTAAGTCAGACGACAAGATACACTATGTTTGTAATCTAAATTATATATCTGGAAGGTCAGTAAACATTGTGTGTTTACCTTTGGACTTTGGGAAGGGCTCTGTGCCATGGTTCTTGTTACCCAGGAGCTATGAAATTGGGTGAAGGACTTTTTTGTTCTGTTTTCAGGGGGGAAAGCAAGGCAAGAGAGTGAGATCATGGGAAAATCATCCTGTTCCATTGTTTGGCCTTTTCCAATGATCATGTGTGTAGTATTTGGGTGAAAAATATATTCATTTTGAAACAACATGGAGATAGAAAACAGAGAAGGAATAGTATTGATTATATTCCTGTATATTCTATAAGACTTTTACAAGATGGAGTTAGTAGGAGAATGAAATTCCTTGTGGCCATATGCAATGTGCAGTTCATCTTCACAAAGAAAATTAATAAAACATATTAATTATGTAAGAAGTAATGGTCTCCCAGCTAGCAGTCACAGTCTAATGACTCTTGATCTCTGCCACATTCCCAGATTTCCAAGCAAAGCCTGGAAAGAAAACTAGTAAGCAAGGGGCAGGAAGGGAGAGATATTGGTCAAAGGATAAAAAGTTTTTGTTAGACAGGAGTAGTAAGTTTTTGAGATCTATTGTTACAGCATGGTAACTGTAGTTAATAATAATGTCATGTGGGGGCTAGCAGGTGACGTGGTGGGTAGGGGTGCTGAACTCCCACATGGCTGACCATGGTTCAAGTCCTGGACCTGGTAGCTTACTTTCTCACTTTCCCTCTTTCTCTCACTCTCTCTCTCAGCCCCTCTCTGCTCAAATTAAAATTAATTAATTAATTAATTAATTAAACTAATTATTTTAAAAATGTCATGTATATATTTCAAAATTGCTCAGACAGTAGATTTTTAAGGTCTACACCACAGAAAAATAAGTATGTAAAGTGATAGATATGTTATTTAGCTTTTGTTACTCATCCCATAATGTGCACATATATTGAAGCATCACTTTTAACCCTCAAATGTATACAATTATCATAATCATATGTATCTCTCTCAATAGATGTATATATGATATTTGTACATCATTCTTAAGTTATGTGTGTGTGTGTGTGTGTGTGTGTGTGTGTGTATATATACACATATATATATATATGTAGAGAGAGAGAGAAATAGCAGGTCTAGCAGATGGTTTAATGGTTAAGGCACTGGGCTCCCATATGGCTGGGGACCATGGCTTGACGTCTGGACTCCCATATGGCTGCTGACCATGGTTTGAGTTCTGGATCCAGTGACTTGAAAATCATGCTGGGCCCATGTGCATGCATGCTCAAAAATCACAAGAGGAGAATGGAGGAGACGGGATTATGGTGTGGCCATCCCCCCTGGGTGGGGGGGGATTTCTCACTTTATCTATCTCTGTCTCTCTCGTTCCGGTGAATACACACACTCTATGGCAAAAAAAAATCTTTAAAAAAAAATAGCTTTATTCTGCTTATAAATCCATGATTAATCCAATTCAGCCAGCTCAGATCCCAGCACCTAAAGAAAATCAAACAAAACCAACCTGTAAAGGATGTTATCAATGTAAATTTAACTGCAGTAATGCTTGTTTTCTTTCCTTCAGGTGTTCCCTATTTCTCTATTCGATGTGCTATTTATGTTCTTCTTTCCTTCTTTTCTTGCTACTTTATCTTTTTAGTTTAGCTTTATTATTCACAGACTGTGACTTTTCAAAATACTTCGTGCAGGTATTCAACATGCATTTTTAAGCAGTCACTCTGCTACTCATTTAAAGGACAGGAGATTTTTAGAAAGCAGCAGTAGTCACTGAACACCAGGTTCTCAGCACTGTTTTAGCGTTGGAGAGGAGGAACTTTTCTTCCATGTTCTACTGTTAAAGTAAAAAATTAAAATATTAAGTCATTCAAACAAACATAAAAGATAAAAATGATTATTTCCTTGCTATTTGGTTATTTGACAAGGCCAGTAAATTTCTACCAAAGTACATTTGATCATTATTATCAATTTATAAATCTTTGTAATATTATGATTTTTGTCATATGCATAGTAAGGGATTTTTTTTTTTTTAATACAGAAATTTCCCACTGAAGGACTTTCCAGCGTGGTTCGGAACGTGTTTGACTTTGATTCCTACAACAACGACATGAGGGAGATTTTGATTAACACTTTACACAAATATGGGATACCTATTGGAGCAAAACCTACCAGTGTGCAGCTGGCAAAGGAGTAAGGCATACTCACTGTTGATCAAATAATCTTGAGCATTGTTTCTTTGGTTCTTAAATGCTGATGATTCCTAATCTGCTGTTATACTCTACTAAACTGAGTTGGCGTGGAAATGACTTTCCATGAGGAAACTTTTCAAATACATGTTGCTATTTGCTGGCTGGTATTCAGTTAAATAGCATTATAGCCCTGTAAATTTTGATTATTATGAATGTGCTCATAGATGTAATGTAATCAAATAAAGGGAAATATTTGTTTCTTTAACAGTCTCTGTCCTTTTGTTGAATTACCATTGGTCTCATTGCTTCATAATTCAGTGCAAGATCCTTGTACAAACATGAAAATTACATAATGCTTAGTTAAGATGTTTTTGGTAGATGACCATGTATTTTTATTTATGATCATTTCCTAAATTTCTAATCATATTAGCTTAAGATATTTTTGCTTACTTGTTTCAGTTTCATAGATGCAAGAGGTAATGAGAACAGTAGGTCCGTTTCATTTGGACAAAGTGCCTAAGTTTTATTTTATACAGGTTACTTGCTTAACCTTAGTTAGGGATCTTGCAAATATGATTTTGTCTGGAAGGATAGTTGACAGAGTTTAATAGATTATTTAAGTTGGTACAAATTCACTGGAAAATGGTTTAAGTACACATAATAATGCATCTAATGCATATCTGTCTACAAAAAAATCAGTATTATAAATTCACAAAGGACAATAATTACTTTAAAATTAAATTATTATTTGACTTCAGTCTCATGTAGGAGGCACTATCTTTCTGTAGAAAAAAATTCTAAATATAAATCAGCAATTAGTCCAGCGAAATATATATTATCTCCTAAAGATGTCTATCATCCTTATTTACTCATTGAACTTATTATAAAAACTTGTCAGAACATATGGCAATAAAACAAATTATTGAACTTAGGAATTTCTTAAAGAGAAACAAATATTTCCCTTTGGTGGTAAAAGCACAAGATGGAGTTATATTATCATTGAAATTATCAGTACATTGGTTTATATTATTAATGAATGAGTACATCATTTTTCTAGAAGAGTGATTGGTGGTCAGTTGTTCATAAATACACCTTTTTGTATGATACCATTTTACTGATTGATTAGCAGTCCTAATTAGCATTTTGAAGCTAGGTCATTAATTTTATGGACATACTCTATCTTCCATATCTGGGAGTTCAAGAACTTGCCATTAATACATAAACTTCTGTTAGTACACAATTTTTGGACTTTTCTCTAATAAACTATATCTTTATTTTCAGTTGGAAGTATGTGGACTTTATTACTGTTAACAAATTTATATAATTAGAGTTCTAGCTTCATGAATACTAGGTTTGTAATTAAAAATTACTTGTTTTATACACTTGTATAACTTTAAATAATAAAAAAAAAAATGTGTCAGTTGGTAAGGTCAAGCCTAAAAAAAAAATTATTGGCAATTTCAATTTCTAAGGAAGATACACAAAATGGTTTATTCTTACTCATTAGCATCCTTAGCTTTAAATTGAAAATTTTTTGGCCTGCCATGCTAATTCCTCCCATGACAAGTTAATTCTAACTCTAAAACTTACTTATATGAGTAGAAACAAAAGTACATTCAGCCTGGAAACAAGATGGTCAGGCTTATGCTTCACATGGGACGGAAACAATTAGATGTCCTCCTATTGCACGTTGCTAAAAGAGGCATATAGCAGATGTGGGGTATGCGTGGATTTTCCTCTGGGTTGGTGTTAGTTGGTAGACTATAATTTGCATAATTATTTAAAGCATTTTTCCCCTCATCGATTAATTGCAATGACTTGGGCAGCTCAAAAGTAATGATGTTATTTTATCGTCCTTCAACGAAATCCACGGGTTCCATAATACTGTTTCTATCAATGGTCTTTTTCTTAGACAGGGTAGCATGATGATGAAATTATCAAAGAAACAGCTGGGAATTAAGCTGTTGGTCATACATTCTACTTGATACCTAAGGCAATCGTGGAAAAACAGAGCAAAGATATAGTTCTGCCCTCCACAAGTTCAGTCTCATTTTACTTTAGAAAAGCTACTTCACTAACTGGCTTCCTTGCTGGTAAAATGAGGGCATTCTTATCATAGATGGCATAATCTTATCATTTACCATCTATATCAGGACATCTGTAATCATGGAAAGGGTACTGACAGTAACACTGAGAAAAGAGATGTGAAAAAAAGACTGTCCTGGTCAGGCCCAAATGAGTAGTTGTCCTCATTATACATCAGTAAGGTTCCCTTCTACTGTAACATCATTTGGATTTTAATGTAATCTCAATGTATCATCTGCAAAAGCAAAAAAGGAAGCATAACAAAGAAGCAATACTTTTGTTTATGGTAATCATATAGACCTATGACGGTTTAGAGTCATCCCCTGCAGTCTTATGATTTGACTTAAACTTCTCTAGACCTTTTGCTTAACTAGTGATTCTAGACTGCTTCTGTCCAGCCATGCAGGTACTGTGTTAGTGAAGAAGATCCTTATGAATTTCAATTCCTAAGAAAAGAGAGTAAAATATTTTAATTACTATTAATGTATTTTTGCCCTGGATTAAAAGGTCTTGCTACAACTTGTTAATTTTTTTTGTTCTCTAATATAGCCATAGTGATAGTGCTTATTAGGTAGAAACAAAACTACATTGAGTACAGTAAACAAGATGGTCATACTAATAGGAAGTGGGGGTGGGAAGGTAACTGTCCACCTCTACATATAGTTAAAAAGAGATCAAAGACAGATGTTGTAGAAGAGGGGAATTTTTACATGAGTCAAGAATGAAACTAAACCATTTGTGTGGTCACCTACAATGCCTTCTTCCTGAACTAAAATCAGAATCTGCTTTCTCTGTTCAGGGGTGGTGATGTTGTTTTAGTGCTTGTGGGTGAAATTCCCAACAGAGAAAATCCTTCACTTTTCCCTGTTACTCTTCTAAATAATGCAACAAATTTATCTGTCTCATTGGTCCTTGCATGTTTTTTAAAGGTGTAACATGATCAGGAGAATTCAAATTGTCTTCTTTTATAAACCTTTGCTAAACCTGGTAATTTAGACTGAATCTTACTGGGCAGTTGTTTTACTTTGCTTGTTCCTACTGAAATGCAGCTGTAGTATTCCCAGATCTTGGAACCTAGAACCGAATTGACTACCTACACCGCACTCTGCATTTCTCCCCTCTTCTAGTACTTCCTGGGGTTTGTTATTGGTCCTCTTGTAAGTTTCTCATATATGAGAAAGGACATGTCAGAGAGAGAGCAAATATAACCAAATTAGGAAGAAATTTTTTTTTTTTGGAGAGATTTTCACTGTAGGGCGCGTGCGCTCGCCAGACAGACAGAGAGAGACATAGAGACAGAAAGCGAGAAATCACCCCCCAGGGGGGATGGTCACGCCGCAATCCCTTCTCCTCCATTCTCCTCTCGGGATCTTGGGCACGCACGCACACGCGCCCGGCGTGAGTTTTAAGCCACCGGGTCCGGGACACGAACCGCGGTCGACTACGTGGGAGTCCAGCGACATAGCCATTATGCTAACTGCTGGTTCCCGGAAGAAATTATTTTTAAAATTATGAATATCATGCTTTATATGGGCTTTAACTTAATTGTGTGACTGTAGAGAAATGCCTAGTCAAGGCCATTGATGGGTGGTGTGTGGGTAAGTTGCATGCACATGAAGGCACTAATCTCATTTTGTCTGTACATGCTATGATAGGAGTATTAGGGTTAAAACCTAAACTCTTGAGTTATAAATGCCATTGTTGGAAATATATAATATATATTTCATATACATATCAAATAAAATAATTAGATCTAAACATCCAACCAAAGTTGTAGAGGTTATCTTCTCTAGTTAAATATAGATACCTATAGATAATAAGTATAAACTTCAGTGTTTGTTTTTTTCCTCAAGGAGATTTTATTTCTGAAGTTTCTTTTATTTGGAAATAAGCATACTCCTAGCACATTAGCACTTCCAAATTAAAAAGTGTGTTTCTGAATAATTTATGAACTCTGTCATGCTAGAGAAACACTTTATTAAGGGATAAAAAAAATTCATTTTCTTTTTATAAACCTCGATTTTAAGTGACTCAATACACTATTTTATCTTAAATTTATAAGCTACTTTACATAGTTCTTAAAATGAGCAAATTTTCATTTCATAATTCTACAAAGGAATGTAAATACTCTACTTCTAAATGTAATAATTATAGCATTATTAATGATAATTTAATAACAATGGTAATGTTGATGATGGTAATATAAACACTTATGAATAACTATGTGCCAAGTACATTCAAAGCACTTTCTTTACAAAAATCCATGGTATATGGATAATATTTCATTTTATAGATGAGGAATTTGAAACATGGAAAAGTTCCCATAACTTACCTAAGGTTAGAAAGCAGAGGTCAAGCTGAGATATATATAATATTAATTTCAATTCTAAATATAAGAAGATTGGTAAGCAGATTGTGGACAGTCTCTAAAGGAGAGTTATCGGGGTACTAAAAGTTACCAGTAGTTTTTAAGGGGACCTTAGGATTATTTTGTGTGTTTGTTTGTTTTTTAGGGTTTTTACTATAAGGCGCAAACCCTAATGGGAGAGAGACAGAGAGAGGAAAAGTGAGAAATCACCCCCCCCACACACACACACACACACCCAGGGTGGATGACTACACTGCAGTCTCTTCTCCATTCTCCTCTCGGGATTTTGACCACGCACGCACAATTACCTAGTTTGATTGTCAAGCTGCCAAAATCCAGGACTTGAATCACAGTAGACTATGTGGGAGTCCAGCACCTTAACCACCACACCACCTGCTGCCCCCAGAGGACCTTAAGATTTTAAGTAATCAACTTAGAAATCATCATTAACCATGATATCATATACATATAATACATAAATTCTTATTCTTCAAAGTTATAACAGATTAAAATTATTTTATTATAGTCATATTTAAAAATTTTAAAAG